GCGTTGGTGTTGCCGGCATCATCGGTGACGCAGCAGTATATGTGACAGCGTTGGTGTTGCCGGCATCATCGGTGACGCAGCAGTATATGTGACAGCGTTGGTGTTGCCGGCATCATCGGCCGCATGCGCCGTGCAGTGTGGTTATGTCGTGTCATTGTAACAGATGCAGTGTGGTTATGTCGTGTCATTGTGATGACAGGTGTTGCTGGATGAGCTTCATGAGGCTGGAAAACTGAACTCCATGTCGCTCTGGATGGATCTCTACCCCATCATCTGCAACGATCTCAGATTCTCACAGATGCTCGGCCAACCAGGTGAGTCGTCCGTCCGTCAGCCGCGATAACGAATCACAACGAATGTGTGATGAGACGTTGATGGTTACATGATGGCTTTGCGTTACGGCCCGTCATAATTCCGGCACGTGATATTTCTGTCGTTCTGGGGTGTGCTTCCACTGCTTAAAGTGATTACGTCACCGTAAATAGCAAAAGTAAAAAAAACATTTCCACTTTTCCACAAAATGTAAGTAATTCTGTTCACTTTTTATGGTAAAATTGCCGCATTATACTTCCTATTTTACTATATTGTTCGATGTAAACATACATTCGTGACTCATACATAGCCCAAAGCAAGCAATTAATGTCAGAATCATAATATCAAATCGTCCAAGTTTTTTGGATTTTTAATTAGTTGAGAAACAATCTTATCAAGTAAGAATTTGACGATACATTTAGTCATGTTAGTACTTACTTTTAATGTTATAAAATGGCAACAAACATTTTACAAATATACATTATAGAAAATTCGTGACATAGTCAATTTAAGCTATCGGGGTGTCAACGAAGAACATCAACCTCTATGTCAGCAATTTAAGACTTGCTTTGACTTTTGATAGTTTTGACAGATTCTTCTGTTGAGCTTTGTTTCAAAGTCTCATCAGCGTAAAGGGTCATTACAACGTAGGTGATCGAATGAACGTATTATGAATGTATGTGAAGTGCAAATGTTACTATGTTAAGATCAAAATAAGATGCAGTTTTGGATGGAGGATAGGATACGGTAAGGATTAGGGTAAGATTTTGTTGTAGGATCGTACCAGGAGTGTCATGATGTAGATCTATAATATATATGTATATATATATATATATATATATATATATATATATTTAGATAAACTATATTGTGATGCTCCTGATCGTAACTAATCAGTATATATGTGTAATCTACTGAAATGTATTAATTTTTAAAATGGCGGCTGTGATTGTTCGTCTGGTAGGATCTACACCACTGGATCTGTTCAAGTTCTACGTGGAAGACCTAAAGTCTCGCTTCCACGACGAGAAGAAAATCATCAAAGAGATACTGAAGGTAGCATTCATCATCAAACGCAGACATGTGTAAATGATCTTCAAATTCATTTTACACGTCATTAGGGTAATAGTCCCCAAGCATGCTGATTTCGAAGCGTCATGTATTACTGAGGCACGCTTCATGTATTCTAGTGTTTAGGTAGATACGAAAACAAATTTTGCATTTCAATAACATGGCCTGACACTTTTTAATTTTACCATGACACTTACAATCAGTGCCCTGCTTGCTTGCTATGCTGCTCCAGAAAACTCACCAATATCAATGGCAATAAGGCGCCGTATCATCTATACCTAGTTTGCTAATTTGCCCATTAATGCCATGTTGTGTATGTATTCCTCTCTGTCCCACGTAAGAAGAAGTGATAATATAAAGTAAGTTGCCATGGTGCCCCTCTTTCTAAGGGAATCTTTCCGTTGTTTCCCGTCTAACTTGCGGCTAAAATCTTTCGATAGAAGCCCACGCAGCACTAGCCCCATAAAACAATTAACACTTGACCCTTAAATTAACAATTAACAGTTGACGACTGTGGCTTGTTGTTGTTGACAGGACCACGACTTTGCCGTGGAGATGAAGACGAGCTTTGAGGATTTTGCGGACCTCATCAGCAAGGACAAGCGAGCGTTGACCCTGGATGCTGGCAACATCAAGCTGACCTTCAACAGTGTAAGAATCTCAAATCTCAATCATACTCCTAAATCCTAATCTAAATCTCATTTTTAATCTAAACCCTTATTTATATCTCAATTTTATCTTAATCATAATTTATTATAATCTCAATTTTAATCTCGATCTAAATATATAATCATAATTTAGATTGAAGAGCAGTGTGAACTAGTTGGACCTGTGGTAGTCGCACGATGTTTTACGGTGTGTGGATCCACCACCTACGACTCCTTCCCTCTTAATTCCTCCCTAAATTGACTACGTCACGAATTTTCTATGGTAAAATTTGTAAAACTTGTGTTGCCATTTTTTTACATTAAAAGTAAGAACTAACGGGACTAAACGTATCGTCAAATTCTTACCTGATAAGATTGTTTCTCAACTAGTTAAAAATCCAAAAAACCTGGACGATTTGATATTATGTTCCTGACATTAATTGCTTGTTATGGGCTATGTATGCGTCACGAGTGTATGTTCACATCGAACAATATAGTAAAATAAGAAGTATAATGCAGGAATTTAACCATAAAAAGTGAACAGAATTACTTATATTTTGTGAAAAAATGGGAATTTTTATTTTTACTATTTACGGTAACGTAATCACAGTTTCTTTAATCTCGTGTATAATCGTTTGTAGGTTGAATGCTGGTAATGAATTAAATTTATTGCGCTCTTTCTTTCGGAAAGAAAAATCAAACGCGTAGCTTGTATTACAACTACTAATACTGCACTAAAAGTGTGACACTATACTGTACTGTTCATTAAATTGTGTGCAAGTTGCCATCATCTGTGCGTCTGTGTGTTCTACGCTTTGCTGATGAAATTCTTGTACTAACGTTAATGCTATTACACACAGCTGATGGAGAAGGCAGAGGCGAGGGAGAAGGAGAGGCAGAAGGAGGAGCTGCGGAAGATGCGCAAGTTCGAGGGAGCGTTCCGGACGATGCTGAAGCAAGCTGACCCACCACTGGACGTCAGCTCGACGTGGGAAAACGTGAGTGTCCACTCATACACGCTGGCTTATCCCTGGGAGCCCACTACCTCGTTATCCATCACTTCGTTAGCTAGGGGCATATCCTCAATTATCTTCCAGTGGTGATTTAGCAGGTGGTGTCAAGGTCATAGTGTGTGATGAGTAACTATTTTTTGAGAACTTATTTAATGAGAGAGTAACTATTATTATTGTTAATATTATTATTATTATTATTATTATTATTATTATTATTATTATTAAATCTTTAATGCATGTAATTCAAATACGAATACATGTACTGACCTATGAAGTTTGTTTTTGTTCTACTAAATAGTAGTGCTGATCGGAACTGCCAGCTTTCTTACAGTACCCTACCTTATTATATCTGCCCTTTACCTAACTTGTGCCTTTTGTGGATTTACCCTTGCTAGTGTAGCGTTTTGTGTCTTTCCGCGACACCTGAGGGCGCCACCAGTCGACATGTAGTGACTAGCAATAACCTTAGGTAAGAACACTCACCTATAGTATGTCCGGATGCGTTGACATGGCCGTATCGTTGCCACCCGGACTCCGCTAGCCACTAGAGCGCCTCAGTGCTACTGCGCTCACTCCGTAGTACCCAACCCGGCGTTCGTTCCGGCTCCGGTGCGATAGCGTGGTTAGTCGACAATGCCACACCACAAACACGACAACGGGGGGCACCCCACCCCGCTCTGCTGGCCTTACGTTACGTCTTATAATAAATGTCAACCCGGTGTATAAACAAAGGCTATACAGATATAGGCGTAGCCAGACAAAGGACTAAATAACCGGCAGGCTCTCTACTGCACGGCTGCTCACAGCATAGGCCAGTTTCTATTCTGCACGTGAAGCATTGGCATTCCCCTCTCTCTACTAGTACTATTTCAGGAGTCCATTTAATACTCTACTCACTGTATTATTTACTCGCCCCACAACAACATTCAACAGGACAATACAACTGCCTACTCACCAACCGTAGCTCTTAACTGTGGCCGACTCTCTGCGGGGTCTCACCCACAAGCCACGTCGAACACTGGTGAACCGTATGGTACTGTACCAGTACACGTACGCTAGCTGTCGTCACCATACTCCCAGTCTCTGCACACCATTCAGCCGGCCTCTCCACTCTATGCTCATACAGAGTGAACTAGCTACATGATGCGGGGCCTACCTCACTCGACTCCCGCCACGAACTCGAGTGTTATCTCACTAGACGCCAGAGACGTACGAACTTGAGTGCTTCCTCTCTAAACGTCCGACACGAACTCCACTGTTACTTCAGCCAACTCCCGGGACAAAAACACAACCGTGTCGCTCCCG